GCGGCGGCGGCGGCGGCGGCGGCGGCGTCGACGGTTAGAGACGTGGGCGAGACATGCGCTATTGATGCTTGCGAAGGTAGAGGCAGAGAGAGTGCAACAGGCGCGTGGGTATCAGTGAATGGCGTGAAGGAAAGAGGAGAAGGAGGAGGAGGAGGAGGTCGACTTGGCTGCTCTTGGATGCTCTTGGCTGCTCTTCGCGTGTTGAGCCGTGCGTGGGGCTGCTGGGGCTGCTTGGCTGAGCTGCTGAGCTGCTGAGCTGCCGAGGGTGGGGACCGCTGACTGTTGATTTCGGGCCAAAAAGAAAGGGCAAAGCGCGTGCGTGTTTGAATTCGCATTTCCGGGCGGTTGGGTCTGAGAGGAGCAGGTGTTGGTCTGAGCTTTTTCTCGCTGCCTGCTCTCTCACGCTGTTTCATGCAGTCGACGTGCATCGATCGCAACATCCGAGCGCCCAACACTCCAAGGCTGCCCGCTGCCAAGTCGCACTTTTTTGACCCTTGCCTCCCATCACATCGCCACAGCCCCGCCCAACTATGCCCGATTGCAGATGGATGGGAAGCCGAACAAACCACCGGTCCAAGCAGCGCGTCGCCTCGGCATTCGACCCGCGCGTCGCCGGCATTTTGTTGTGGCCCGAGCATTCGCAGTGGGCTGTCAAGAAGAAGAACAATTGCGCAAAAATCGACACTGTGAGATTTTTTCTAACCTAACACTGCAAGTCTCGCCGCCTCCAAGAGGGCAGCATCGGGCTCCACTTTGGTTGCTCTGCTCCCACCATCTTTGCATGCCTGCGCCCGCGACGGAAGGGCCAGCGCTCGAGCCATGAGCAGCTCATAAAGGCCTGCGATACCGCATCTGCCATGTCGTCGCAAACCGAGTGGCCGCAGTCGCTCAAGGACTTTGCCAACCGCGCATTTGCGGCGTGCAACGATGCCAACCGCAAGGCCGTGTCGGACGAGCTGCGTGCGCTCATCTTTGACTCGTTCCAGAACGGCACGATCCACACCACCGACTGGGCCAATGCATCGCTCAAGTCTCTGGCTGGTCCATCGGTGGCGAAAAAGTCGCTCAAGAAGCGCGTCGCACCGCCATCCACGCCAGCGACAGCGGCGGATCCAGACGAGCAGGCGCGCAAGGAGAAACGCGCCCGGCGGTTCGAACGCGAACAGGCGCAGTTTCAGCACGAGGAGAACCAGGCGAATCTGCAGTCGACCAGCTTGGCATCGCGATTCGGCTCGGCGCATGCGCAGAACGGACTGGCAAAGCAGCATGGAGTTGACGTGGATGTCGCCGATCCCAACGTGATTGACTGGGACGAGCATACCGTGGTCGGCACAAGCACCAAGCTCGAAAAGCCCTACCTGCGTCTGACTTCCGCGCCGGATCCAAAGACGGTTCGACCGCTGTCGACGCTCGTCCAGACGCTCGAGCTGCTCAAGAAAAAGTGGCGGACGGAGAACAACTACGGCTACATCTGCGACCAGTTCAAGTCGATGCGCCAGGACCTGACGGTGCAGCGCATCAAGAACGAGTTTACCGTCAAGGTGTACGAGATCCATGCGCGCATTGCGCTCGAAATGGCCGACCTGGGCGAGTACAACCAGTGCCAGTCGCAGCTGCGCGGGCTGTATGCCCACGGCATCCGCGGAAGCGCCATGGAGTTTCTAGCCTATCGCATCCTCTACCTCCTCCACACCAAGAATCGAAGAGGTAAGTTGCCCACCCCACACCCTCTCGCGTAAACAAGGCAATGCTGACGTTGGTGGCGGGGGTTGTAGATGTGAATGCATTGATGGCCGAGCTGACCGAGGAGCACAAGGAGGAGGTGGCGGTGAAGCATGCACTGGACGTACGCAAGGCGCTGGTAACGGGTAACTACCATGCGTTTTTTGCGCTCTATGCAGATGCGCCCAACATGAACGCCTATGTGATGGACCACTTTGTCGAGCGCGAACGCATCAATGCGCTCCTCGTCATGTCCAAATGGTAAGCCCCTTTCCTCGCTTCTCTTTGAGGGATTCGTACTGACATGGTGCGCGGGATAGCTATCGACCCGGAGTGGCGCTGTCGTTCATCGCGGACGAACTGGCGTTCCAGGATGTGGCGGAAGCAGACGCCTTTCTCGCCGCCAACAATGCGGCGGCCTACATCGAGCCTACCCCGGCGGAGATTGCGGCCCTCGCGCCTGCGGGCAAGAAGAAAAAGGCAAGGCCGGCAGTGCCCTTGGACAAGAGACAGTGGGATGCAAAGGCCGCCATGCAGCCTCTGGCCGATGCCATGCTCAAGTTTCGCAAAGTCGACGTAAGTACCAGTCCCCACCCTAGTGAGCAGTGTATGGGGATGAGAGGCGCTGACGAGTCGTTCTTGGCGGGAGTAGATCAAGGGCCAGATATAGCACATGCAATACCACTTCGTTGTACACTAGCGCTGATGAAACGAGGGAGGATGGGGTGAGGCTTGGGTGCAAAGGTGTTAGATTGTGCCAGGGCGGTGATCACGTTGCGGGACGTGCGTGCGGGCGGTGGAGGGAAAAGTGGAGGAAAAGGTCCGAGGGATGCTCAGCTTTGCATCGCACCTTCATCTTGTCATCGCCTCTGACTCAACTAGAGTCACAACGACAGGCATCACAAGCTGGCCACTGATCGAACTGCACGCGAGCACGTCAAACACTTGCAGCTAGCTACGACCATGTCGTGGTTCTCGACGCAGTGGAACCGGTTCGCAGCGGGCGGCTCTGCTCCACGCTCTTCCGACGTCATCCGGCGCATCGAAGTGGTCTGGGGACGCGAACGGCTGCAAATCGTGCTGCCCCGAACGAGCGAACCCGTAACCCTGGGACACCTGCGTCAAGAGATCGCGTCGATCACAGCACTGCCCTACGAAAAGATCAAGCTCATCCATCGCGGACTCATCATGCGCGACGACCGTCTGCCGCTCACCGCCTACGGTCTCGTCGAAGGCTCGCGCATCGGCCTAGTTGGCAGTAGGGAGGGCGATCGACCGGGCGCAAAGACTTCGCAGCTCTCGGTGGGCGAGCAAAAGGCGCGCGAGAAGAAGGCCAAGGAACAGGATACGAGCGAAAGCGGACTGATGAACCGCATCACCGAAGCGCTCGATTCGGCAAAGCTGCTGTTTCCCGAAGTGGAACAGCTGGAGGCGAAAGTGGAACGAGAGGGAAAGGCCGAGGGCGTGGAGGATACGCATAGGCGCGTGTCGGAGCTGCTCTTGAGACAGTTGCTAGCACTCGATTCGGTCGCGGTGAACAGCGATACCACCAGACAGGCGAGGAAGGTGGCAGTCAAGCAGGTGCAGCAGCATCTGGACCGCCTTGATGCAGCGTGGTCCAAGTTCAAGGCAAAGCCAGCTGTGTAGAAGCAACAAGATTCGTTAGATGCTCCGATGCTGCGAGGGCGAGTGCGAGTGCGAGTGCGAGGGTGAGGGTGAGGGGGTGAAATCGGGTGCGAAATCGGGCGTGTGGGGGGGTTCGATTTTCGAGTCACCGGGAACGTCATTCGAGGACTGCATGTATGCACGGGCGATTCTTCCAATCCACCATCACCCAGCGTCGCTACGATCAAAGATGTCGCGAAGTTTCACGATCCGCGTGCCGTGCACGTCGTCCAACATTGGTCCCGGGTTTGACGTGGTCGGACTCTCGCTTTCGCTCTACCTCACGCTTTCGGTCAGCGTCTCGTCGGCAACCAACACGGCGCCCACGTTGGCCTACACTGGACTCGGGGCAGAGGAGGCGCCGTTGGACGCGTACCAGAACCTGACGACACGCACGGCGCTGTACGTGTTGCGCTCCAACGGTGTGCCTGGCTTTCCGGCGGGTGTGGAGATCAAGGTTCACAATGAGGTGCCTTTCGGCCGAGGCTTGGGATCGTCCGGTGCAGCGGTGGTAGCCGGTCTGCTGCTCGGCAATGAGCTGGGTCAGTTGGGGCTTAGCAAGGATAGGCTGTTGGATCACGCGCTGATGATCGAGCGACACCCGGATAACGTGACTGCCGCACTCATCGGCGGATTCGTCGGATCGTATCTGCTCGACCTGTCGCCCGAGGAGGAGGAGAGGAGGGATGTGCCGCTGTCCGAGGTGATTCCAGAGTACCCGCCCGATGCATCGGTAGAGTGGGGCAAGAACCCCCCACAGCCACCGCACGGCATCGGACACTATATCCGCTTCGACTGGGCAAAGGAGATTAAGGTCATCGCCATCATCCCTGACTTCCAGGTCAGCACCGCCAAGGCGCGCGCCGTGCTGCCCACCACATACTCCAAGGCGGACATGATCTTTAACCTGCAAAGGCTCGCAGTGCTTACGACGGCACTCACCAGATCCCCGCCCGATGCCGAGCTGATCTATCAGGCCATGCAGGATCGTGTGCACCAGCCGTACCGCAAACACCTCATTCCCGGTCTGCCAGACGTGCTCGCCAGTGTCACGCCCAAAACCCACCCCGGCCTCTTGGGCATCTGTCTGTCAGGTGCAGGTCCGACGATCCTCGCCCTGGCTACCGACAACGAACACAAGATCGCCGACGAAATCGTCCAGACGTTCCGCAAGAACGGCATCGAAAAGTGCGATGCCAAGTTCCTCAGTGTCACCACCGACGGCGCCCAGGTCCTCCCCTAATATGCACACGCACAAGCCAATTTCAGAATACAAACCAGAGTGTGTCTGCAGAGTTACGACGAGAGCAGACGCGCAAGCACGCGCTGGAAGCTGTGCACATCCTCGTCCGTCGCAGTGGCGAGCGTGTCGGCGACCTCGTAGATGTACACCACCCCCTCGGCGCCAGCAGTGCCAAGGTGGCGGCCAGTGCGTGACCATGCGAGGCGGTTGAGCGCACGCTTGCCCGGAGTCGCACTCGCAACCGGTCGCTCCGTATCCGTGTTGAGGTCAAACACATCCAACCGCCCCGCGCCGTCGACGTGCGCAAAGACGCAAGGATGCGTGGGCGACCAGCGCACATCGTAGATGTAGTCGTTCGACTCTTCCAAGCTCAGGATCGGCACGCCACCGGTGGCTGTTTGACGCCACAGACGGGCGGTCCAGTCCATGGACGAGGTGAGGAAGAGGTCGGAAAAGTCGACGGCGCCCGTGAGCGGGTGGCAGTGGATCGACGTCACGGGTGCCGCGTGCGCCCGGTACACCTCGGCCGCATTCAAGCCGGCCTTCAATCCCGCCCGGTCGTACCGGTTGCCCGCATACACGGCTCCGTCCTCCGAACCCACCAGGAACGACGTCGTGTCTTGCTCGCCCAGCCCGAGCGCGGTGACCGCCACCTCGTCCGTCTTGGCGTGCGCGGTGTTGACCAGCTCGAGTGTTTCCTGCGGGCGCGCGAGCATGTCGAGCATCCACCAACACACCGTGCCGTCTGTAGAGGCCGAGACGAGGTGGTGCGCGTTGGCGCTGCCGATGATGCGCAGCCCGTACACGGGGTGCGTGTGCCCCGCGGCAGAGAGTGGCGTCTTGAGCACGGGGAGCGAGCGTGCGCGCGTATCCCACACGAGGATCTGGCCGCTGTACGTGCCGCCCACGACGAGCGTTGGGTGAAACGGCGAAAAGCACACGCTGAGAACGTCGGTCTGGGCGTGAAAGACAAACTCGGGCCGCTCGGCGAGGTGCATGTTCCACACGGCCACGAGTCCGTCGGGCGACTCTTCGTGCTCGGTGCGGCTGTACGCCACGGCGCACAGCTCGGGGAACTTGGCGCTCCAGTCGATCGCCGTGATACTGCGCCCTGCGAACATCTTATCCCCCGCCCCGAACGTGCGGACGAGCCGCAGCTGCGAGCCGGCGGTGCTGTC